GATAAATAGCGCACCCTCCCACGTTCACCTACTCGTCACCCCCAACTTCTCTTGAAGTCCTTCCTTCACCCGGGAATATTTCCACACTCACTCACTCACTTACACTGGATCCGCCGCATCCATATGTGTGATGTATCGTTGATAGGAGTGATCCGGCGAGACCCAGGTTCGACTCCTGGGCGCACGAGCCAATTATAAAACTTGACAACTGCCTTTTTTTCACTCCCTTCTTTCCGGTCAACTGGGAGGAATGGATATTGTTATTTCGAGGGAGCAGAGGATGGGCGAGGTGGATTCCGGCCTCGGGAGGCGACAAACGATAGCTCCGCCCGAGATCTTCTTACTTTCAAAGTTCGATACGTTCGGCGTGATTGGCCGAACTCATACAACAGGAACACATATAATAAATAAGTTTTTGTTGATTCCTTTGTTCTCCCTGCTGCTCTCCGTGGCACCTCGCCGAGACTTTCTTGAGCTCCCTCCTTCTGAGGGAAGCAAGTTGACCCAAATATTTAGTATTAGTATAATCGGGCATAGTGCATGGAACACGCTCCCGCCTCTTCGTTCTCGTACACATGCGTACAGGAGTAACCCAGGTTCGACTCCTGGCGCCCGATTTCATGTCCTCTAAACCATTTTTTAAAAACCCTTCTCTGTGGATGTGCGGAAGATCTAGAGTGGAGAGTGACTGATTCTCCCTCCTCCTCGTCACCCTAACTTCTCTTAACTTCGTTCCTTCACCCGCGAATATCTCAACAGTCACTCACCCACTCAATCACCCGGATCCTCTCACACAATATCATCGGGTGTAGTGTACGCAACACCTGCCGCATCTATACTCTTCATTGATCGAATCAATCCGGCGAGACACAGGTTCGACTCCTGGCCCGAATGTGAACTTGTGTTTCCGTACTTTTTTATTTATACAACTATACTGCACCCCATTAAATGCACTCGTCGAGGAACAGAGTTTCGACGCCAGCTGGGATCTATGTATCATCTCAGCCTCTTGATGCGAATTCATGGATTACATGCAATATTCCTTCAATGCACCGCGCTACATACATAGCGTCATCAGAATTCCTGTACTCCCCGCCGTCAAAAACAACGCTGCCGCGGCATCCGTTGAGACGTCCCTGCTTGCATCCACACCTCTGTAAGTTCCAGTGACTCGTCTCATTCCGATTGGCGGCTGGCTGCCGTGTGCTCGGGAGGGAATTAATACCAAAAGCCTGCCTCCCGGACCCTCTCCGATGCTCGATTAAATAACAGTACAGTCCGAGTTAGCCAGTACAAGGCTTCAAGTGAACTCCGACCCTTCGTATTGCTGATGGGGATGTCCAAATTTAAGACGCAACGCTCAGAGGTTTCTCATCGGGCGTAGTGTACGCAACACCCGCCGCATCTATGATGCTTGTTGATCAAATCAATCCGGTGAGACCCAGGTTCGACTCCTGGCGCCCGAACTGTATTGGAAGTCGATTTTTTATTTATCCAAGTGTTTACAGTATCCCGGGAGTTTCATTGAATGCACGCGTCGAGGAACGCAATTTCGAGGAACGCAATTTCGAGCAGCCCTCGCAGCCAGCTGGGATCTATCATCGGTTCGGATCTGCGGACTAATATTCTTTCAATGCACCGCGCTACATACATATAGCATCACCAGCATTCCTATACTCACCGCCGTCAAAAACAACGCCGTACAAGACACGCAAAGGCATCCATTGAGACGTGGTTGCTTGCTGGCATCCACACGTTTATGCATCTATAAGTTCCATTACTACCTACTCGATCCGTTCAATTTCCTGATTGGCCGCCGCGTGCAGTCAATCCAAGTCACTTGAAGTCAGCCAGTCCAAGGCTTCAACTGAATTCCTGACCTTCCGACGTTTTACTGACGGAGATATTCGAATTTCAGACCCAACGCTCAGAACTATCTCATCGAGCGTAGTGTACGCAACACCCGCTGCATCCGTATCATATTCTTCGTTAATTGACACGATCCGGCAAGACCCAGGTTCGACTCCTGGCGCCCGACCTATGTAGCACAGTTGCAAGTCCCTCATTTTTGTTACTCCCTTCTCTTTCTTTTGCTCCCCTCCCCCTTGCTTCATTCGAGAACGTCGAAGGCTTGACCTACCCGCGTCATGGTGGCCCTTCCATTGAGCGTGCGGAATCTCCCCATATCAAAGCACGCATCGAGCGTAGCAACAGGAACAGCCGTGTACGGCGGGTTTTGAGGTTTACGAAGCAACCCGACACGACGCACGATCATCCACCGCAGGCGACGGAAATTTCAACTTGAAGGCTGAGCCGCGAATTGAACGCGAAAGTGAATTTGAGTTTATCAGGGGAGAGGATTTATTTATTCAAATTATTGGAGGATTAGGACACACGTACATACCGCCTGCATCCGCCTCGATTCGACTCTACGCCGACGTTGAGACTACTGTGGCTCGCCGCGCGGTACTAGAAGTAGAGCTCTATAATGAGTAAGCGAGGGATGGGGAGGAACAGGGAGAGAAAGAGGGATGCGGACGTACTACGCACTGTGCACCGGCCGCGAGGCAGCTTGTGCGCACACAATAAATAGCAACGTGGCGGACGGCACCACGAAGCGAGTAGGCCTGATCTCCAGATTAGTAACATACTGTACGTACTTGCTAGAAAATGGATGGATGGATACATTATTGGAGAGATGGATAGGCTGCGGGTGATTTGGCACGAGCGGATGGACGTACTTACAAGAGAGATGACATGAGATGCGCGCAGGGTTGACGCATGCGCGGTGGTGGTGCCGTGTCGTGGTTGTTTGAGTCGCAGAGAGGGTGGGCGGGGTCCGCGAGGACGGGAGGAATCATAAACGCGACTTGGAGTTAGTGCAATTAGTATTGGAACGCGCAAGAAAAAGAAAGGAAGAAAGGCGGCAGGCGCGATTCGTATCCGTCGTGATCGGCCGGGCGGGTTGGGACGGACTCGGAGACGCGCAGCGCATATGCGTACGCTATGATACGATGCGAGGACGCGATCCGATCATTCGATGCTAGCAGTTCGTCGTCGGAGTTCTTGGTGCAGCTGAAACAGCGTGAGCTCCCGGGCCAGAAGTGGTTGAGAGGGAAGAAGGGGTAGAGACGGTACGGGAATCCGGTTGTGATTGATGAGAAATATGATACATTGTGCGTATGGAGTGGCGTCCGTCCGGAACGGAGACCCAATAAGTAACGAATGCGATGCGATGCGACGCAGGTATAAGTGCGTGTGTGGATGCGCGATGAGCGATTATGCGCCGTTTGGTGGCGTGGTATAGGGTAATTGAAGACGTGGCGTCGAGAGAGTCGAGTACAATGTGAATTAATAGTGAATGAGGCGTCATGAGATGTCTGTCAATCGATATCAAATGAGGTCTAGAACGGGAGTAATGCACAAGGATGCACGTACCATGCATGTATCATAGAGCCACCTTCTCTGGCGGGTACCCCGTCGCTGTCTCTACGTCCAGCAGTTTGCGTGCATCGAGGGTGAGCACCACATCAAAATCCGGCTTTCCCTCAACGTCGGGCTCAGCGTGCACACCCCACCGCCCTCGTAACACTCTCAAAATGCAACTCAACAGCACGAAAACGACACCCGCGCACGCGCCAGTCACGCGTGCGACGAACAGCGGCGAGACCCGCTCCGAGTCGAAGGGGCAGAGGGGGAGGAGGGCGGACGTGAGGATGAAGGAGGCTAGGGAGATGGCGAGGAGGTCGAGGGCTGCGTGGACGGCGGGGAACGGCGCGATGGAGGAGGAGGGCATCGGAGACGAGGATAATGAAGAGAAGAGAAGAGAGAAGACCACGTTTCGGCTATATATGGATTGCGAGGGATTGATGGCGCGGCGTGGGAAATTGATCGGCGATTTGGCCCTGGGAAGCAAGTGCGTATAGGCCGTCGGTAGCCGTCGGTCCTGTTGGAGCAGGTCGGAGTCCACACGGTGAGTTTTACGAACGAGTTACCTTAGATACACTTGGTGTACTCGGAGGGCTAGCGCACGACTACACGCACTTTAAATCCACCGGCTCCGATTTTGTCTTGGCTGCACGCGGATGTGCTCGTTGTCAAACCTCTTGGCTCTGCTGCGCTCATTGTATCGTCGGAGACATGTACCCGGAATCATCGAGAAGGGTCGTCGGGGGGTTGGTACGGGCCTTGCGTTGCTAAGTTAGAGACTGGTATTTATATACCGCCAAGGCAAGGACGGCGGACGCGGTGATGCGTCGCAGGGCCATAGATGTAGTCGATGTTCATGTTCGATTGAGTTGGTAGAGAATCAGATATATCCCTGGGCCTGGGCCCAGGAATATTTAAATTTGCAGACTCCTAGCGAGAGCGGATCTAAAATGATCTACACCTTCAGATAAGATTAAGTGCGATAAGATAAGATAAGATAGCCAATGGGACAGAGGTTGCAGTGAGGTTGCGCGCCGCCACCTCGGTCCTCGGGAGAATACGCAACAATATCAACCATAAACGCGTTCTTCGCAGCCGCCTGTACTCCAAGGACTGGAGTTCGAACCATTACCCTCGCCTTCATAAGCACATGTCTAATACCTCTTCTCGCCAATGGACACGCTGAATAATATTGGCTATAAACACAACATCGCAATCGGGGGTGGTGCCAAGTGGTGCACCGAGCGCACGCCTATGAGCATGCCGGGATTTCTGGAAGCAGGCCCGGAGACCAGGTTCGACTCCCGGCGCCCCACCTTTGTAAAGATCCCTGTCTCATTTTCTCACATAAAACTTCAAAGTTAAGTTACTTGTCGCCTCTCACTCCTCCGTTCAACGTAGCCATAGGCGGCACCAAATTGCATCGGTACCAGCCTAGGGGCTTTTATGAATCCCTTCTCCGAGCTTGGTTCCGGGTTCTCGTCAGTCCGTGAGGAGGACTAGCTGCCCTTGCCCCGCCAGGTGAGTTGCTTCTCAGTATTAGTATAGCCATTAACTCAACATTTATGCAATCGGGCGTGGTGCATGGAGCACTCTCCTCCACCTTTGTGGGTCACTTCATGTACTTGGATCTAGGAGAAATCGGGTTCGATTCCCGACGCCCGAACTAGCTTGAGCTGCGAGATACTTTTTTGGCCCGTGTTCTCGCCTCGCCTCGCTCACACCAGTAAACAATAATATTGAGTATTTTCAGTCTTCAATATTGCGCACATCTACAGTACCGTATTCAGAATCCATTTTCCCCTTAAAGCAGACTGGTTTTTCAACTATCTCTCTCTCTCGAGAGAGAGCCGAAGACGGAATTAGCAACACACCATTCAAGAAATTCCCCTTCATCTACGTAAATGCTCGGATGTTTTCCCGGCGCTCGAACTGGCTGGAAATCATCCGACATCTGACCTCATTTTTCCTCACGAGCAATACATCCATTGGGTGACTTGACTTTGGTGTAGGTACTTACGAACTCAACATCTCGATCGGGCGTGGTGAATGGCGCACACTCCTTCCTATTTGGCGGGGATGGAGGAGAGACCGGGTTCGATTCCCGGCGCCCGAACTAGGGCGGAGACCTGAAATCATTTTTTTCCCGTGTTCTCCCCTTGCCTTGCCTCGTTCACCCCAGTAAATAATCGTATCGGCATCCGGGCATAAGCATGGAGTTGAACTACGCATTGAATCGGGCGTAGTGTTTCAAACGCACATATTCATCCTCAGGGTGATCCGGAGCAAGTAGAGACCCGGGTTCGATTCCCGACGCCCCATAGTCCAACTCTTGACAACTTTTTAAAGTTCTTTCTTCTTTCTTGTCATTAGGCTAGGTACCGATTGAATGGGTGAATCTGTATTTATAGGCCCAGAAAATCAACGTCCATCCAAGACTATCCAGTTCGATATTCTCAGTACCCAGAATTTACTACTTCGAACTTCTCAGTTTCTGCTCTTCCAGGAAGCTTTTTTACGATCTCGAGTCTCGTGATATACTGAGACACATCCTTGCGAACACTGCACCCAGGCCCCGGCTTCACCGACCTCGTCATCTCTCACCCCCTCCCCTCTCGATTGCCGGTATATCCACTAATCAGGCCCACCTATTACTTACTATTTTATCGGGCGTGGGGCATGGAGCACAATCCTTCCTATTTCATCGGCTGGACGTATGAACGGAATGTAGGAGAGATCGGGTTCGATTCCTGGTGCCCGACCTGTTGTAGCTCTCAACCCATTTTTTATAATCCTCGGTTCTCATCAGTCAGTTGATGGATCTGACTTGTGGGGGAGGGAGAGAACTGCTCTGCACACATATGTATATAGGAGTGAGCTCGAGGACCAGGACTGACTCTGTCATTACGAGTCCGAGATCTATAAGATCGGTAACACGGCACAAATTGACGGAGAACTCCCGCGCATGTCCTCTCTCCCAGTGGCCAAATTAACTGCTCGAAACTGGGCTGTAGAGATCTGAGCTGAATGTGGCCGACCGTCTTAGATTGCTGAGCTCTATTACATATATGCTTCATTATCATCGCGACCTAACCCCTACAATTGGACTGTATTATCGCGATGAACACGACGTCGTGTTCTTGCTTCCAACGGTTTACTTGTTCATTGCTATAAATTGACAATCATTCCTTTTGTTTTTGTTCGCTGCCGGGTGGTTTCCGTTCAAGACATCCCCGAGACCATCGACGAGAAAACAGTGTTGCGTCTTCTGTCTCTCCTTTTCTTTCCTACACGATTCCAAAGTTCAAGTACTAACGTCGATGTCACTCAGATTCAGATAAATTCTTCCAAAACTTGAACATACCATTTTCGCGGCTTCGCCTCGTTCGCTTTCTGGGACACGCTGAGAGTAGTGGCACGAATGAAGTGCCAGAGTTTACCCTCGTCTCATCCAGCGACACAGGTGGAAAGATTTCTCCTACGGCGGGCTCATTCGAATCGGCCTGCGGTAAAGCTCTTCTTGATACCTTCACAATATCGAGTGTTGTAACGATGCAGACGGCAGCTGAACATAATGCGTATCGAGGAATTGTGAGAAGGTAACCGGTATTTCTGTTGCATAATACTGCAGCGCCGCTGTGGGATAATATGTCCGGGACTGGTAAATTCTTGGCGCGCACATCTGCCATTTGGTCTGTCAGTGCGATGAATGCCCCGCAACATGGTTTCGCCTCGACGGACGCGTTAATCATCGAACCTCGTAACTTCGGTTAACAACGATCGTGATTAACCGTACTCACCGGAGTCCCCCAAAGATCAGCAAGTGGCGTACGACTGACTCGACGAGTTTTTTTTATTTTTTATTGAAGTGTCTGTAAAGGAACGACTATCAAAGATATTGACCTTCAGCAGCAATATATTCTCCGGACGGGACCTCATGACTGGCAAGATCATCTGGCCGATGTGGCTGATACGTGGTGGTTATAGTTCGCCCTATTGATGATTTATGCCTAATGACTCCGAAGTGGATGCACCGGACAGTCAGGACCCAAGACCAGAAGTCTTACGATGCTTCAGCGAAATCTGGTGGTCGTGTCCAAAACAGGCATGGCCTGGATCACGAACAATTCCAAATCCTTTATCATGAATGATGGGGATGCAGACCAACATCGAGAACAGCGCTCACTTTGAGACCCTCTGGCCTCGCCGGGGACGAATTGACGCTTAAATACGATTGGGGAGACACTGAAGAAGATCATCGCTTTTCCGGCAGATTAGCGCGAGGGATGTGATATGTGTGGGTCCGCCGCATGGTCTATCAGTTGGCCAACTGCAGACAGAAAATTGCGTGAGCACGATGCGAGATTGCCTACATCTTTATTGTTCTGCCTCAAGCGCCTACCTGAGCTATCTGAGTTGGGCTATGTAGTGTACACCACCCTCGATTTATTATTTCTTGTCTTCCGGCAAGCGTCAGGATTCAATCAGGATCCGTATGGGCAAGAAGTGTAGTTTGATCTCTCGGAGCGAGACTCCGAGTCAGCCAGGGGAGAGAATTAAGGAAGACCAAGAGTTTACACAGAAGTCCTCGGCCAAGTTCAAGTGCCGGTAGCCTTTTATGCGGTCCGGCATTTGCCGCACCTTCGATCAGCGGAGCTTGAATTGCAGGCATCGCATCGTGATGATGATCTGATACCTCCACACACCTCCACACCGATGTCATCCACCAGCGCACGGCTCTACGACCATCCCAATGAACATTGGCAGAATATGCAGCTATATGCTTCTCCCAAAAGAAGATCCTTTTCCCGTGCAACGCCCGGTTCGAGCGTGGAGCGGTACGACTGATTGACTCACAGCTCACGGCATCGCCTCAATCGATCTTCTCGATTCACCAACACAGATATAGATAGACAAGCCCCTGATAACGCAGACTATTATGGACAAAGTCAGCTGGTGCTCAGTCCTGTGCGCGTTTCATACTTTCCTATTTTCGTAGAGACTTTTGTCTGAGGCTGGTAGCAGGGAGGGACGGAATCGCTCTACGGATGGAGATACTTAAGCGCTGTTGTTCCTTCGTCGCTACAGCCCCTCGCAGAACAAGACGATCTGGAACAATAATTGTTGGTGCCGGTGGGTCCATGTTTCCGCGGGCGAACACCGTCAAGGGCCTCAAAAGGGCGTCCTTGTCCTTTGCGTTATGACCCCTTTCTCGAAGGACTCCTCGTGTCAATTGCAAGCGCCGGCGCACACTCTTGCTTGCCAACTCCCAATGTACCCGCCTCACGTCTCTCCCTCGCATCCTCGCCGCCTCCGGTACGGCTGGCCACCCGCGCCGCATCAAGGCTCAGAATCGGCCCACGCAAATGGAGCCGGATTGCGTTTATTTGATCACCCGGATGCAAATGATTACGGTCGCGCCACAAGCGACATCCGCCGGCTCCCATCCTATCAGTATCACCCACTTCGCTCGACCTCACCGAGGTCAGACTGGAGGCCCGCCCAGGAAAAGCTCTTCTCCCCTGCCGCCCGCCCATATCAACAACTCCCCGCAGAGCTTGAGGTGTGCGCCACACTTTATCTGAGGGACTTGCCCTCATTTTCGTGCACATTTTCTACTTAGCCTCTCCGATATGTGGGGTTACCTGAAATACACCGTCATACTCAATTTTCCTCCGTCCTCGGTGACGAAAACTTCGATGATGCCTGGATCGATATCTCAGTGCTGGAGTCACAGTACCTTGACCTATCCGACCACTGTCCGCTACCTTCATCGCCCTCCGCGGAATCGACACACGCGTCTGACGGTGCCGAGATAGACCTGCCACCCGCCAAACGGCGGCGTACGGCGGAAGTCAGTTCTGGCTCCTCCACCGTCCTTTGCGCCCACTTATCTCCTCCACAGTGGGACTTCCCGCCGCAGCACTCCTCTGACGACGAATACAGCGACGTGGATGGTGACAGAGAAGAGAGACGCGTCGGCTTGTCGCCATTCTACCATTCCCCGACAGAGACTTACGACATGGCGCCCACAAGGCCTCGGAACTCTTATACCACCCACCCATCCCTGAAATTCACTGAGGCACGCAAGGACGGGCGCTCCAAACGGCAGGCACTCGCGTGCCTCTTCTGCCGTGCGCGGAAAATTGCGTGCGGACGTCCGACGGCTGGTGCGAAGGATCAGACGTGCAAGTGAGTCCATCCACATCTTTGATTGCTCTGCAGACCGCTAACGGGCTCCTAGCCAGTGTGCCAGGCGCCAACACCCTTGCATATATCCAACAGAGTCGCGGCGGGGGCAGCACTCTCGTCTTAAGAGCCTCGCGCGGCGGGCACAGGCGCAGGCGATCCACGAAGAAAGGATAGTCCCCCTTCTGAATCATTGACACGTATCGAAGACTCGGACTTGAATCCCTTCCGTTGGAACTTTCTTTTTTACGTCTCATTTCCACCAAAACTCACTTGTATTCGTCGCTCCTTGTATTTTTCTCGTATCTCTCCTCCATCTGTATGTCTGCCTACAGTGCCCGTCATCACTTCTCTGCACGTGGTTTTCAGGGTCAAAGAAATTTCTGTGATTTATTTCTGATTTTCTGAGCCACGAAACCGACCAAAAGAATGCGATTCAGCACAAAAAGTCATTTTTTCCCACGGTGTTTCACTTTTTCGGGGTCCGGAAAAAAAAAAGTTGGCCCAAATCACCAGTATGACACTGGGAAAGCCTTTGGAAGGATGGGAGGATACTCTGAGAATGTTTCATGTTGTTCGGAGTTCCCACAATTTGTGTAGAAACAGACCACAGAATTCGGACGTGGGCGGACACACTGAACACGTGACTTTAACCCTACCCAATATGGAAATTTGATGCCATCATTAGGGTTTGTTTCACTTTTTCAGCCAACAAAAATTAAAATCTTCTTTGATTGACTAACGAAGCACAAGGGATCTTCTTTATGCATCCTTTGAGTGTTTCCAGGGTGTTTTAAGTTCACTCATGATGAAGGCATAATGTAGTTGGAGGTTCAAAGTTTTGACTTGTTTACTGCCAAATGTGGAACCGTGATGTGATGACGGGCACTGTATAGCTACGCTACCTCGAATTGATGACATAATCTC